TCAAGTGGTTGAATAAGACCACTAAATAATATACGAATATAAGATTGTAGATATGAATAAGATAGATCAAGTTTTCGTAAATAAATTAAACGACGGAGTAGACGATTGAAATCTGTACATAAATTCATCAACATTTGTGGTGTTGTGTAACTAAATAATAGTAATAAAATCGAGTGTAATAGAAGTCAAAAAGAAAAAAAGAAAAGATCTCTCTTACCGATGAGGATATAAATTAAGAACACGTTGTAAACAAAGTACACGTAAGTTACGTAAATTTGATAAACTTCGAACAAGTAATGTTAATTCATTTTCTGTTGTTTCCATATTTGGATCACTTAAATGAAGATGTGTGATATTCTTTAAAACAAATAAAAAAAAAGATAAGTTTTCAGAAAAAAAATAAATATATTATCTGAATAATATTACATCAACATTTGTTAAATTTAAAATCAAATTGATATCAAATGATGTATTAGGTGCCAGGATTTGTCGGAAATAATTATTTATCCATAATTTATGAAATTGGAATCGAAATGGTGTTAATTGTTGAAGTTCAAGACCAACAAGTGTATCTTCATTTACAATTTGACAATCATGAATGATTTTAATAGGTTCTGAAAATGAAAAAAGCAATTCGTATTAAATTTTATTTTCTTCTTAATTCTGTGCATGATTTAATTTTTATGTATATATGATTTCGTCGGGAGGGGGGGGGGGGTCTCATTATTATTCTGAAATTGAATTAGTCTCTACAAAAATATTCTTCTACTAGTTCAATTTAAGTTGAAAGCAGTCAATAAAATCCTAAATTTGCATGTCTATTCTAATAAATAAATAAATTTTCGATAAAGGAAAAAATGGATAAAACATATACATGCTATGTCATAGAAGATAAAGGATAATCACCCCATGCAGTATATTCTACCAAAATTAGTTTCATGTGCAATGGATTTATCATAATATTGATAAACATAATTGAATCCTTCGACATATTTGTCCAATTTATTTTTTTCAATATCTATGTTAATCAGAGCATAATTTAATTATTAATATTTTTTTTCTTTCGTTTAACTTACACATTCGTTTTTGTATTGAAGAACGTCGTTCAGGTGCAATCCATAATAATGGTAAACGAAACATTTCTTTTGTCATTTGAATACCTTTTCGAAAAAGAAATCATCAAATAAAAAATAAAACTACCTTAATAAGATGATTTTACTTGATGAACATCGATGAAAATCAACAATTTTAAGACAGGATAAACTTTTATGTTTATTAACTAAACCCATTACAATATAATCAACTAATGTTGAACCATCTGGTAATTTTCTTTCTAAAAGTTTTGCAATTGAATCAATTTCATCATCTTGTTGTTGATTATTTAAATTAAATAACATTGATGATAATGGTAAAAGACGATAAATTTCTAAATAAACTGATGGCCAATAAGCAATAAGAAGTTCAATTATTTGATATTCATTCATAAATATAGCTTCTTGTCCCATTGAATAAAATAAGTTTGATGGTGTAGCTGATAGAATATGTTTTTGTTGAAGACAAGAATGTAAATATCTTTCGTTTGTTAGTAATTTTCGAATACATAATGAACGTAAACGTCTAGAAAGAAAAAGAGAAAGGCAAATCCTAATTAATTATTTATTTATTTTCTAATTTTATCAATTGTATCCGCTAAAAATATGTAGTCCTCAATACGATTATAAATTTGTGTAGCAATACGAACATAAAGTTCGTTATTAACGAATAAAATAATCGTAACAAGTTTATGATGTTCAATTAAATCATTTATAAGACGAGTAGCGTCATCATCAGTTTTTTTATATTCTGCTAAATCAGGTAATTGAATCATTTTTAAATATGGTGCTTGCATTTCATCAGGAACAAGATCTTTTCCTTTTGTATTCCAACGTTGTTCAAGTAAAGTTTTAGCTTGTTCACTTAATGTTGAATTATATTGATAAATTCGATCAAATCCACCAGCCAATGAATCAGCAAATTCAATTGCTTTTTGTACAGTTACTAAAGCGGATTCATCACGTGTACCTTGATGAAAAAATTGTAAATGAAAATGTGTCATTATATCAAGTTGACATGATGATGGACGATAGCCCCATGATGTATTGCTTGGTTGGAGTTGATTAGCAATAATTGGATCACGAACAAAAAGAAATGAACAACCTCTTGCAGCATACATCCATTTATGAAATGTACCAATATAGAAATCACATGCGAGCTTGTTCAATGAAAGTTGTGGATTTACTTGACCTGGTCCATGTGCTCCATCAACAACTACTGGAATACCATGTGCATGTAATAGATCAGTAAGTTCATCAATTGGAAAAAGAATTGCTGTTGAACTTGTTATATGATCAATAATAGCAAGACGAATATTTTCAACATCACCCTTATTTAATTCATTTTCAAATTGTTGAATAAATGCTTGTTTACTTTCGATCGGTAATTGAATATCAATCTTTCGTATTTTCATACCACGTTGTCTAGCAGTTTCTTCAATAGTAAAAAGCACTGCACCATAAGCTAAATTTGTACATAGAATAGTTCCACCTGTTGTTGATGTAAATGTTGGTAAAGAAGATTTTAATATAGCATTAATACCAACAGTTGCATTGTCTATAATAGTAATCTGTTCAAAATTACAATCGAGTCGATCTGCTGCTGCTCGTACACAATCAACATATAAATTATATTTTGATAAACGAAACCAACGATCAGGATTTTGTTCTTGTTCCAAACGAATACGTTGTAATTCTTCATAAACAAAGCGAGGACATGGCCCATAACTACCATGATTAACATAAACAACATCTTGATCCATTAAATAATGATCATGACGTGTTTTTTCTCCAAATTCAATAGGATTCATGATTAGCAAGAAAAAAAAAAGCTTTATCTATTTTATCTACAATGTAGGGTGTGTGCTATATGGGGCTTATATTCAACTTCAAAAGTAAATATGACATTGCAAAAAAAAAGTCTTATCTCACCTTGGACATTTTACCGATCTATTTTCTGTATTGGTATTCTGTTGATGTATTGGATAATAAAAATGTTGTTCGAGTCGAATAGTTGGTATTCGTCTATGAAGATGATCTTTTCGATCGAACATCGGATTATTTGGAAGCATAGTAAACATTATAAACTTTTAGTTTCTGACTTGTGGATAATCTAAAGTATTAATATATACACGTACATTTATATATGTTTGCTGATTACACATAAGACCTGGATCTCATGTGCGAAGAACATTTTGTCACAAGCTATGGCACACTCTAGAAAGACGATGATAATGATGACGACAGTAATAGTAGAAAAGAAAATGATGATAAATGATTATTCGTCATATAGATAGACAAGAAAAAAGGACTCAAGGAAAAAAATAACGACGAATAATTATGGTGGTATCGTAAATAAGAAGAAGCGATATACAGAGAAAAGACCTATGGACTCCTTTTCTCTCTAATGCATATGATAAATAACGATCCAATAGGTCGTCGTGCACATGTGTATATATGCAGATGCACAAAGATATGTCCCCTATCTATGTTTGATATTTCGGAAAAGATGATGAAAACAAAAGAAAATCTTATGAATGTTTATTCAGGCTAATTGATGAAGCAAGAAAACAAAGTAAAGACGATGGCATTCTAATGAGTATAGTTGACAGATAATTATTAAATTAATCTAAACAAAAAACATCTTTTTTTTTTTGTATTCAAATAAAATATAAATTCTCGAAATGATTTTCTTAATCATTAATCATCAGATCTTCTTCTATTAATTAATATAGATTTTAAATAAATTTTATCTGTATGTTTCATAAAACTTCTTATGAATGAAAAGGAAAAAAAATACATTTAATATTTTAGTTCTTTTAATTAAACAAAAAGAAGAAAAAAAAACAACAACAACAAAAAAGAAATTCTACGTTGCATGAAGTTGTTCATCAGTTAATGTTAATTGATCAAGATTTGTTAGTTTTTGATCTTGTACAGCTTGAAGTATTGTCATTAACAGTGATTGTGTACGAACTTTTTCATCACGTAATTCCGGATAATAGTCTCGATAATCATATGTTCGAAAAGGTATTTCATATGTCATTAAACCTAAATCATAAGCTTTACGTAATGCAACTCGAAGATTTCGTAATTGTGCTTGACATATGGAAGTTTTCAGAACAGGTTCAATTTCGCCTGTATGATCATTAACAAATTGTTTTAAAAGTTTTATATTACGATAATCAAGTAAAAGATATTCATCACGACATACTGGACATGGATTTCCACGTATATAAAGACCTTCTTCAACACAAAAATCACGTGTATAATGAGGAAAACGTTGTTTTATTCGATTTCGAACATAATTTTTCCATACAGATTCATCACCATACACAGTTTTATATGCATCACTTTCCATATAACGAAGAGATGTTTCAATATCAGTAACATTATATGGTGTACCTCTTAATGAAGTTTTCGTTTTATTATGTGCTAATTGAGCTGATTGTGCTGTTGGAGCAGCTGGATCAGCAGATATTGCTGGCGTTGTTGATTTTGCAGCATGATGAGATAATGATGTTGAGAAAAAAGCACAATGGAAATTAATAAAAGGACTGAACTTAAAACAAGAAAGTCGTTGTGAAAGCATCTGAAACGATAATATTAAAAAATGAGATCATTCATGTTTTGTAAAATCACGAAATTCATTATTGAAAATCAATTTGCTATCTCTAGGTTTTTTTTTGAATGAAATCAGACGACTCTTTTTTTACATTACAGGCAGCGCTTGCTTTTGATTGGATGTTCTACATTACCTTTGCCAAAGAATGTCCGGTGGTGTCGTCACTAGTAGGCGGGAGACGCTTTCCTCTTAATTCATATATATTTATAGTGGTTTTTCTTTTTGTTCATGATTATATATAACTGATTATGAATATAGAAAAATTTATTTGATCAAAATTTTAGATGCAGCAATATAAAACTTTTAGTCTGTATTTTTTACTTGTATGCTTCTTTTTACTTATTACTAATTATTATGGACAAGAATATCATAATCACAATCATCATTCTACAGATTTAACAATATCCGAATGTTCTAAAACAACACTGATTGCTGAACCTTTTACAAAACATATATTAGGTTAACTTGGTCTTTTGCACAATTTTAATTATCAATAATTATTAATTTATTTAGAAACTACGAATGCATATCAAGTTAATATTGAAAACAATAATATATTTTCTTCATCTATTCAACAATATAATGATAATAAACATATTTATGATAGATATCAAACTAGACAAGAATGTAAATTGTTTTTCAGACTTTTTAAAATCAAATCCATTAAGTTTTTTTTGTTTGTTTAAAGATATCCGTAGATTAAATAAACTTATAGAAGATCAATATAATATTGAAAATGAACATGATTTCAATAATCATCTCCCTTCATCAATATCATTTGGGTTGCCTAATGATACATCGTTAACGAATCGAAAAATACAAGATGACCTAATAGAAGTAATCAATAAAACGGACACAATATCTTCTCTTTCTCCATCAAAACAAATACAAATCGATCAACAATCATACTTAGCCAATATGAAAATTCTTCAAAGAAAATCTATATCTTTTGTAAAAACACAATATCATCAACAACAATTAGATACAATTTCATGTCATCAAGTAGAACAAGATGTTTTGAAACCTTCCGTGTATTCTTTTCAAAACGAACAATATTTTAATACAGTAAAATTAATTAAAAGTACACATCGTTATCTTCTATTTCTTGTTCAAATATTTCAGAATGAAAATGAATATAATTCGGTGACTTCAAAATTAAATATTGAATCATTAACTTCAGTATCAACTATTAATACAGATAGAATATTAATAGAAAGAAATCAACGAATATGTTGGCTTTTACCGAAGATATTTCCGTCAAGTTTCGAATTTCTGAATAATCAAACCTTACATTTTAGTAATCTTGTATGTGGTTTCTTTTATATTATAAGTAAAATTTTCATTTTCGATCTTTTTCTATAGTTACCTGAATTTATGCAAACTATTCTATTTGAACATATAGATGATCATGAAATATTAATTAATACAATATGGTTTAATTCAATATATATAATATGTTTTCTATATAGTTCATTATTTGTTTCAATAGTTATTAAACAGCGTAGGAAAATCAAATACGAAAAAGAAATTCTTGTTCAGTGTCAACAATATAAGGATCAAATTGAATTTGAATGTTCTACATTAGAACGAAAGAATCAGAAGTAAATACACAAAAAGAAAATAATTTTGTATAATTTTTATAAATTCAAATTTAGATTATTAAATGAAATTGATGAATTGAACAATTTATCCATCAGTTATAAAGATGATATTGCTGAATTACGTGAAAAATATATTCGACTTCAAGAAGATGTAACATCAACATATGTTGAATACGATAAATTACAAAAAGATATGGATTATAAACAATGTTTAATACAAAAACATGAATTTGACATGCAAAAACAACTAGAAATAACAACACATTTAAATTATGAGGTATTGACATAAAGAAATTTCTTAAATACTCATTCCAATGTTGAGTATCTAGATATTTAAACATCAACAAGAACTAGAAAAAGAACGAGGAACTATAGTTCGTTTACAATCTGCTGATTTGTCATTAGAACGTTCGGAAAAATTAGAAGAAATAATTCATCAATTAAAATCTGAAATAACACAATTAAAACAAGAGAAATTTGCACAATTAGATCAATTAGAACAAGTACAAGAACGTGCTAATCAATTAGATATTGATAATAATCAATTAACTATTAAAATGAAACAACTCAAAGATTTACTTGAACAAAAAGATGAAACTATAGCTCAAATTAGAGAAAAAATTCTTAATAATGATAATGATAATGATGATGATGATGATGAAGAAAAAGCAGCAGGTTACATCTTAATGAATTTTTTTGTTTTTTAACTGAATAAAATATTAACTCTTTTCTATTTCTTTTTAGAAATAGATAATTTACTTTCAGCAGTAAAAGAAAATACAAATGATAATGATCAACAAGAACTTTTATCAAATATTAATAATGATATTGAAAAAGCTAATCAACATATGCGTAATTTACATGCTGAAATAGATGAAAAAACTCGTCGTATTAAAGAACTTGATTCATTACTTAATCAAGAAAAAGATCATTGTAAAGAACTTGAAACAAAATTAAAAGTTGTTTTAGAATTACGAGAACGTGATGCTCATTTACATATTCGTCAATTAGGACAAACTGATGCTGAATTACGTAAAGCAAGAACAGATACTGAACGTGTTCGAATTTTACAACAACAATTAGAATTTAAACAGTTAGAATAATTATATTATTTAAGAAAACTTTAAAAAAAAAAATGAATATTTATCTTTTAATTTTAGAAAACAATTAGATGATGTACAAAAAGTTCTTTCAAGTGAACAAACAAAATTTAGTGAAGAATCTGGTAAATTACAACATGAAATACATGAAAAATGGATGGAAGTTAAACGATTAACACGAGAACTTGATGCAGCAAGAAAAGAATGTGAAGGTTTACGAAGACAGTATGCTTTATTTTATTTTATATTATTTTATTATTATTCATTTATTGTTTGTTTTCTTTTCTTTTCTTTTCTTCTCTTTTTATATAGAATTACTAAATATGCTAACAATGAACGTTTATCTCAAGAGAAAACAATGCATAAACCAATACCACAACATATTAATAACAGTAGTAAGTTTTAAAAAATATAAAATTGTTGAAAAGAAAACATTTTTCTCTTTCTAGGTCGAATGTCGAGTGAACCAGAAACAAATAATAGTTCTTCACCACCACCACCACCACCACTTCCATATCAACAAGGGAAAAAGTATGATAGTTATCAGTTTTGTTTTTACAGATAACGACCATTTTGAGAATAATATTAGGCTCATTCAACAAAGTAGCAGTTTTTGTACTACAAGTTCGATCAACATGTCCAAGACAGGTGAATATGCCTACTCTTTTCTTATTCTATAAAATTATTCTTTATTTAGATTCACGTTTTTTTGTTTTACCTGGACCATATTTTTGTCCACAACCATTTATATCGTCATTGGTGTCTAATCGATTTCCGATATCATATAATGGTTCACAGAGGATCATAAATAAAGATGAATTTTTATCTGCTAAAAAAAAATAAAACATAAAAATATTAAATACTTTTTTTAATACTTACACATGACAGAACAAGACAAAAAAAACAGCATGCCATAATGTGTTCAATAATAGGGTGGAAAATGCTTTGTGTCGACGAGTATTTTCAAAATGTATATCCAGCAAAGATGTTTAGAGCAGTAGGAAGATAGAATACTGTATTGTATTTTTCAGAGTACTTTTTTTCAATAAAGTACTTACAATATTCATATTAAGATTGACGATAAAAACGTTTTGGCAAAAATTATGCTAAAGTCGTACTCTTTAAAAGTCTTATATCTCGGTTATAAAACATTGAACAAAAGAATTCTTTGGAGGTTGTGCTGATCTAGTGACCTGCTACTTATGGTCAAAATAAGAGCTTTAAGCATTATGATAATCTGGATGATCCTTCTCCTCCTTAGATGTTCCCAGAAAATGACTTGAATCTCTGATATTTCAGGTAGAAGTCATAAATTTTTTTTGATCAAATCTATTTTGTATTCACTATACGCTCAACCAGCATAAAAAACTCCATAAAAAACGTTTTCCTAAAAAGTGGTTGGATACCCATGGATTTAGCCTTAAATGAATATCACGTCGAGCCATAAATATTTGTAAATCGAACGATTTTAATAATGATGATATAGGAAGATCATTTTCATTAATAAATGGAAGACTAGACACTCTTAAACAAAAAAGAGAAAGCTTTACATCAGTAATCACTGGTACTTATGTATTTTTAATTGTCACATAAAGAGTTCATAATTCACAAATGAATACGAAGCAAAGGAATAAGAGAATAAATCGATAGATGGGTTTAATATATCATAAAAGATCATTTGTAAATATGTAAGATTTGTTGTAACTATTAATGTTGTTGTAATTTGAGAATAACTATAATCAAAATAAAGGCCAGTTAACTTTTGATGCCAACGTCAGTATCGCTTTACATGAGTACAAGGTTTATGATGGAAAGTGAAAACAAAGGATGATTCAAAAGTTTCGACCCCCCCTCAGTAAATCAATGATATGTGTGACAAAACTATACATAGTTAACTGATTGAAATATATTATTTTGTAGAGGAAGATTAGATCTATCATCTGAAAAAAAACATTTCGAAATGCATAAATGTAGTCCAATGTTACGATTATTTTGTTAATGTTGAGTGAATATTTTCATTTTAAATTTTTTGAGAGAAATTTTTAAAAAGTTTTTTTTTGATAAAAGCTGTATGTCTTTTGCTCGCATGGATTTTATAGTAGAATTGCTATTTTAATGGAATAATACTCATCATATTTGCTGATTATAATTGCTGCTTTGTAATTCTATTCATTTTATGAAAATACTTTCATATTGACAGTCTTCTTTTATGAAGTTTGAGTTTTTTCAGTTTATCCTTTAATATGTTAATTACTTGGATTTATCTCTGTCATAGTTTTATTTTAAAAAAATTCCAGGATACATTTTAAAGCCAAATAGATAAAACGTGACCAATATAAAATTCATGAGACAACATTCGACAAGATTTAAGTAAATATGAAAGTGTCAAACAAAAAATTATTCATAAATGGAAAAATTTTACAGTAGAAAAATGTGAGAAAATGATAGACAATGTTCCAAAAAAGTTCAAAAATGACATTAACACATGATAATATTTAATTATTAATATTTATACAAAAAGTTAGTCTGACAAACTTATCAATTATATAGATCTTTTACTAAATTGTTTTAAAAACTTTTTATCAAAAAAATGTAAGTGAAAACTCTTCATTCAAGATTAGCAAAATACTCATTACATTGGACTACATTTATTCATTTCGAAATGTGTTTTTTGTTTTAGAAGGTAGGTCTAATCTTCCTCTACGAAATTATATATTTCGATTAGTGAACTATGTATAGTTTTGTGATACATATCATTGATTTACTCGAAGGAGTCGAAACTTTTGAATCACCCTGTAGATATAAAAGTATGGTTCTCTTCCAATGAAAGACGGCCTAACTCTATTGTGAGTTTTCGCTATGTCCTGGATTTCATGAGAAGTTCCAAACACTATTTTTCCTCAGTTGGAAACACTGAAGTCAATTTACCGATAGCTTTGAAAGCTATATAGGAAATTGTCAAGTTTGCTATGTTCTCCTGGCGCTTCAATGACAATATTGAAATGATTCGTATAGATCATTTTCTGTGGCGCAGATATTTGTTCTGAAATGATCATCGTAATGTCAGACTATGATGGATACTTCGATATGTTCTATACCGCATCGTTCGACTACATGCGAGTGGTTTTATGTTATTTTGGGATAAATATTTTTGTTGATCCACTGAGTTTTCAGAGATTTTTCAGCAGGGTCTTTGACAATTTCTCTTCATCTATGGTCTCCACATATTGTGGGTAAATCATTGTTTGCAGTATGGTGACTTTGCAGTCCGGAATACTCCTTCTAAGTTCATAGTTTTCTTTGGCGGATTCCTGTGGGAAACTGAGTGGATCTTGCAAGAAACAAGGTGGAAAGTCGGTGGATATGGCCGGTTCCGACTGCAAACAATGCCCTGCAATTCTTAAAAATCAAACTTTGATAACTTACCACGTTCATATCTAATGCTAGTGTAGTAAATTAGATTTTTCTTCTTCCATTATTTATTGACATTATTACTAACCAGAATTTCATGAATAAATCTATAATTTACATTAGGTATTTAGAATAATCTAGATGCAATAGTTAACTTAGATTTCGGTAGAATTATTATCCAATACAAGATAAATGTATTCTCTCTAAGCATTCAACAAAATTTAAACTGTCCACGAAGAATATAGAAAGGATTAAAAAAACAATAAATGTGTCAAAACAAGGGCTCGTAACCAATTTCTGCTGATATCTAATCGAATCAATCAATAGCTTTCACTTTTTTTTCGAAAAGTAGTCTGTTCAATTTTCAGCAACTCGACATATTTATCTAAATAAATGAAAATTCATACATTTTTAAAACAGAATATATCAATAGAAGTATTTTGTACAAGTTTTTGAGCTTCTACCAAAATAAAAATTTGAAAATTCCAAAAAAGTATTTTTATTAATATATTATTTTTTAAAAATGCACGAATTTTCATCTATTCAGATAGATATTTCGACTTTCTCGAAATCAAGTTCTTCATAGGTCGAATGAAATTAATTATACAACCAGAAGAAACGTAAAACAATAATCATTTTGTTCAAAATAATTGTTTATGACAAATGACGTGACGATATCATTGTGTGAATAAAAAATTGAGTTTGATAGACAAGAGTGATATTAGTATAAACGATGAATAATCTAGCGATTAAAAGACAACGCGATTTTTCCTTTTTACTTAGACAATTGTTTATTGTAATAAACGAGTATTTTGAACAATACATGACCGTTTAAAGACGAAGATGTTAAATATAATTTAAACGACTAAAAAGCGACCCTTTGAGTACCTGGAAAATTTTTTCATTAGATATAAAATCAAAAACAAAAATTGAAATGTGTAAAATATCTGCCTGTATAAACGACTTTTCTGAGCTTGATCAATTATAAATTGCTAAGTCACGAGTCCTGTCAAGACAAGTTTTACTTGATGCGCTGCTCATGTCTGACATAATTTAGTTTCCTTGCTGTCCTACTTTTATTACTTTAACTATTTATCACATTATTCGCTACCCATCTTGTTTTTTTTTCGGCGTAGATTCAACAATCGATGTTTTTCACCAATTCTATAGATGTTTCTGTCATTGAGAAACTCCATAGAAGCTTATATTAGAGATCTTTTTTGGTTTCATAACATATATGATAATGGCATCATCTTTTTGCCTAAGATTAATTAACTTCCATGTCTTACTCACGCCCGAATGTTTTTGGGATAAGTGTTATAAAACTCTTAAACTATAGTTATGGTTTTTGCAAGAGAGTCAATGATCTTTTTCCTAATAACTGAATATGAGATCATAGTAAAAATTACAAAGCAGAAAAAGAAATTTCAGACTTTGGTCTTTCAAACACAACAAACTAAAATTCATTTGATGTGAATAATATGTCGATATTTGATAGAACCGTTCGCTAATGAATGTCAATGTTATAAGGAAGAAATATATATATAAGCATCTTATTTTTATTTTGTTCATTTTAAGTAAAATGATTTATAGAAGTTATCTTCGAAAAATGCCCGGTGATGCATAAAGAATTAGATACTTCTGTTCTGTTTGCTTCAGGGAGAGATTGAATGTAACTCTGATGACGCTAGAACATTATGTTTTCATATATAAAATATGAATCTAATCATCAAGTCTGTGCAGAATACTATCGGACGATGTGTCAGTAACAATTCTTCATCGGTAAAGTAAAAATGTTCAAACCAAATTAACTAAATCATCCCACCTAATTCTCTTGATCGGTTATTTTTCTTTCGAAACGATGCCTCGAATAGTATTCTAAAACCATAAAATAGATCAAATAAAGATATCTCATTCATGATTGATAACCCATTACTCATACGAACAGAAGACTTTGATACTATTTACTAAATTAGCATCTCTATGAACAAAGTAGCTATGCATTATTATATCTTCTAATTGAATTACTTTTTCTATTTTCACTTCTCATAATGAATAAAGCAAAGATACGACACATCGCCGTACACAAACTTGCTATTTTTTCTGTCATATTCTGTCTTTTTGTCAAATCCTATATTAGCATTATAATTTTTTCTTTCTGTGTAATTAGTCACATCTGTCATCATTTGATTAAAGGAAATGAGAACATCTATTCTGATTTATTTAATGGTTCTACTTCCGTCTAGCTAAGAAATACCCTCAGGAACATTACAACAGTTTTTTTTGCTTGAAGTAAGATTTCATGGTTTATCGAGAAGTTCATTTGCTCCCATGAGTATGAATTTAGAATAAGAGAAAGAGTGAATAGATTTCAATTTCATATGTATTTAACAGAAGAAAAATTAAGAAAGTATAATTTCAATGTATGTAGTATAAAATTTTAACATTTTTTGTTTAATTTTTGAAAGATGAAGTAAGATGCCAGCAATTCAAAATCAAACATACTATTTGGATTATTGGCACCTTATCAAATTTAATTTTATTATGTTCCTGTGTTTTCATAGTCATTCGTGAATATGAATAATATACGTGTACCAGAGAGCCGTGAATCAGTCTCATACTCTAGCGTTTACTGATGCAACGTTGAGCAAACTTACTTGCAACGTTCTGAAAGAATACTGAAGAAACGAATTAGATATGACAAAATGTGCTCACAGATCAAAACTAGAAAAAGGCATGTGATACACGTACGTGTGAGCTCTGAAGCAGGGCTGACTCGCGAATCTCTAATGTATGCATATGAGCACATTAGAAAATATACTGCAATCTAGTTTACAGGCATAGTAGTTTGTATATCTGTGCGCTTAATATTTTCGCATGCAAGAACATAGGTATGTTTTTCTAGAAAAATTCTATATCAACAGATAAGTAGTTCCATGTGTGCACGCAAAAACAATGTTAAAATAAGTAAAACAAAACGAAGCATCTGTTGTAAGTATGCAAGAATGCGGAAGAATCTTTTTTCAAATATAAAATTTGAACTGATAGACTTTCTTTCAGAAGACAAGCGTTTTCGCCATTCAACTCTCTACTCACAATAAAAATGCATTCAAAAGTATGAAATATAATGGTCGTCCAATAAGTTTCCAAAAAACAGGTACATGAATGTTACAAATTATGAAAAAATTTGAAATAGTGACAAAGTTATTTTATACAATCTTGTATAGTTATATGAAAATGAATTTATTATTAACAAGAAATACGTAATGCCATATCGAAATAACGTAGAGAAGAAAGCGAACTCTTACATGAATCAAAATTCACATTACATAAAAAATAAAATTTTGCATGTCATCACAGCTTTGCTTAAGTATTTACTGTCGTAAATACAATGTTTATACATTTGTATGTAGAATTTATAATATAGAAGTTAAAACTTGTCGAATTATAATGCTCAACTTTTTAGTGAAAAAGTTAATTGTGTTATAAGTATCAATTTTAATTATAACTTTCAACTGTAATAAAAATTAGCAACCATTTCTACTTAAAATAACTTTTTAATTTTTTGAATAGATTAGATTAATTTGAAATTGTCAATCACTTTGATATAAGTGACGTGTTTGATAGAACAAATGAAAAACAGACATATTTACAACGTTCTTACATCAGGAAGTTAGCATTTATGAAAATTTCTCTAAATGATGCTTTAAATATTCATCTGCAAACAAAGTTTTCTCATATTTATACGTCGAATATGAAAGAGACAACGTACTATTTTGTCATGTAACATTAGGGATTGTTTTATCTATGTCAACAGTTACTAAAGAGATGCAAAAATTACAATCATTATTGTTGAAAATATAATCATCAAGTATGCATAGTTTTGAATTAAACTTAATATTTGATAAAGTTTCATAATAGAGTAAGTTGATCATTAGTTGCAATTCTTGTAATCATCAACTAAATATATAACTGTCAACCATGATTATAACTATTAACTTCACTTATGCAAATTTTAACCATAGTTATCATTGTGAACCTTATTTAGAAACAGTTTCGCTGTAATAACTAATCAGCATAATTTTTTAATGCTGCTTGTGATTTTAGTCTATGGAATTAAAAGTATTAGTCAAATCCATGCCCATTATAATAAGTTACGTTCACAACAGATATTAACCTGCCATCATTCACATGATTTCCCTGAATGATGTAGTAAATATTTTTCTGTGTCTTTGACTTCTAAGAAGATAATTGATGCAGTTTCTGTTAGATCAGTCTGCTCTTCCTTTCGGCTTTACTGCTCTACTTCCTTTATTCTTTTGCTTTTATTCTCTGTTAGTCGATATATATGAACCAGGAAAACGAAGAAAAAAGTAGAATAAAGTAGTAATTATATAAATTGTCATTCACGAATAAGAGTAAACAGACAATCATCTCATACAGTGACTTCGTGTTGACATAAAATACATGTATAATGATACTGACTAAGAGCATCATTTAAATTTCCTTACAACCTATATTTAAGATGATTGTTATCTTCAAAGAATAAAAATAAGATGAAAATGGTTTCAGTTCTTAAATATTGCCTTCAATTGCGCACAATTTCAAGATTATCATTGCTCATACAGCGAAAAATATGGTCTTGAATGTACAATCGCTCTTGATGCATAAATATGAGAAAAAGTTGGTTGCACACATGAATACATAAAACAAGAGTTAGAAAAAATTTCATAAATGCTAGCTCTCTGAAGTAAGGACGTTGCAGAGATATGTATATTTTTTATCTCTTCTATCAAACATGTCAACCAAATCAAAATCATTACAATTTCAACTTAAAGTAATCTATTTAATAAAATAATTAAGTTTAAATGGTTGCTAGTTATAGTCGTTTCAACTTTTGGATGTTTTTCTCAACGATCAACTTTTTAGAAAACAGGCTTAACTTCCACATTAAAGATTTGACGAAATTTTTTGTCATCTTACGAGCACATACTTGATGACATGTTGACATTTCAATGCAAATCACTTTGATTGCATAAGCATGCCAGTGAAGTGAATTCTAGTAACTGCAAGAATAGAAGTTGTGCATGGTCTAGTGAGTTATTCTAATAATCTCACACACTTGTGTATGCATAGTCATGTTTTCAACATCCATTTTTATGCATGTACTGTTGCTGCGCATTCATACTCAAAAATTGAAAATATTTCAAGTAAATTGCATCGTCGTATATGAGTTAATATGACTCGAAAAGTGCTTTGCACGTAAAGATCTATTTTAAAAAGTTTTCCGGAAGTACAAAAGACCTTTAAACTTTCGTCTTTTGATAGAGTTCTGGCACGTCTGATTTTTTTAAAAACACATCATTACGTTGCTAAGATACAGCGAGACCCTTCAGAGCAAGTCGATTTCTCTTTCTACGTAATAAGAATAGATAAAATAAACTACAGGGATACCTGGAGAATATGTTACTAATTAAAATATATAAAAAAACGACGCTAAGAAATACACGCCATAATACTATTGACAATGTTTGAGATTGCTATCTAGTTTCAGGATAAATTTGTGAAGCAGTGTCGTGTTGTTTATTTGTATCTTTTTTAGAATTTATAAGATGATGATTCTTTACAAGCAAATCAATATGAACAATTCATCAAATGATTTGGACAATCTAAGTATGACTTCAAAAATGTCAATATTTGAACAAAGTTTCAAATTCTTTTTTCTACTTATCATGCATATACCATCACTTTGTTTTACAATTTTCATGTGAGTTTTCTTTTTGAAGTAAAATTAACTAAACATTATTTATAGTTTATATAATTTCAAATGGAATCGTTTAGCCAGTCAAATATTCGGTATTATTATTATTGTCAACGGTTTACTTATTCTTTTCGAATTACCATTTACACTCACTTATCTATACGACGGATTCGTACGAAATAAAAGCATATGCCCGATTTGGATTCTTGTTAATTACTCATTATTTATCTTGAGTATAATTTTAATTGCATGGACATCAATTGAACGTTATCTATTTATTTATCATGAACATCTCATTATACGCTGTCGAGTTTTATTGCACTATATTCCTATCGGATGTTTTATTGTGTACACACCTTTATTTTATATTAGTGTTGTGATATTTTATCCTTGCCAACAAGTATTTAGTGCATATAATTATATTTGTGGTGGTCCATGCTATCTGTTCCACATTGTACCTTGTATAATTGATTGGGTTTTTAATGTAGTTTTGGTATTGCTTATTACATGTATTATGAATATTATATTAATTATTTTGAATATTAAGCAGAGATATAGAATGAAGAGAGCGATAATTACTGCAAGGAACAGTCAACAATGGGTAAAATGAATAGATTTGAAGTCTATTTTCTTCTAATGATTAATCTGTTTTTTTTTGCTTTAGCGTCGTACAGTAAAATTGAGCGTACAATTATTTTCAATATCTACACTTTGTGTGATTGGATGGATTCCATATGGTATTATTTCGACCATGCAACTTTTTAAGAATACAGAATTTTTAAGTTATTTTCTTTCAACAGTTTTGATCTATTTCCCATATATCCAAACATTATTCTTACCTTATATCTGCCTATTGTTTATGCCCAAAATTAAACACAAATTTTTTAATATTGTGAGATCATTCTGGTGTTATAAAGTTCTATGTCACCATAATCAAGTACATGCGGGCGATGATGGACAACTTCATACTCTAACTCGTTTGAATATGCCTATCTGTCCCCAAAGATCTATTAAAATGCATAGTTTATGACATCATTCAATTTTTAGAATTTTTTTCTTCTTTAAATAAAATATACCTGACTATCAAATTATTTCTCCATTGGAGAATACTGGCAGAATCTTCTTCGGTTGAATAGAAAAACAAAAATGAATTTCTAACCGAAGGCAATGAAATGAACTCAAGTAAAAAAAAAGAATAGGTTGTTGTCATGTCATACTCTAGCACTTCTAATAATGAGTTTTATAAAAACAAAATTTAGATTTTGACGTACCTGCATTATTTAGAATCATATGAGCTCAAGGCTAGATAGAGCTTAATATCCTATCAAGCAAGATCATAGTGTAAATAATTTTAATTATTTTAGTTTTAGTTTTTCATAATAAAAACAAAAACACGGTCGAAGAAACTTTATTGTCAAATTTCAACATGCACAGTATCGAGTATTTTTTATTCGAATTTTGAAAAGAATCTTCTTCCAGTCTATTTCAATCTATTGGTTCGTTGAATTCATGAGAATAATGAATCGATAATCCTTCTAAATATATTTTTTCAGTCTTTTCATTTTTTCTTATAAGATAAACCGGTTATTTCAAATCTGAAACACTTAGCTGTTTAATTAACAGTCTTTGATAGTATATATATAAATAAAATATAACACAGTTTGTGTTTATGACAACTGTTATTTATACACATATGGATCAAAATAAACTTTTCATCGCCAAACTAACAAAATTAAAATAAAGGGTCTCCTTGACATATGCAGGTCGAGATATTCTATCGTTAAGATATTTAGAGTACACGGTGCGCTCAAATCAAAAACTATCAACAGAGTTCTTTTGGATGTTTGGAAAGAATTTATCGAACTGTATCAGAAAAATTATGCTTCAGATATGAAGGAAAATAGATGTGATATCTTAATCCCTCTTATACTTTATTTTTCATAAATAAACCTATATACGTCTTTCTCTTTAACAACAATGTAATGACGATAATATGTAGGGTGATAACATGGGAAAAATCCCATACATGGTGAACATGAAAAGGAAAATCAATAGAACAATATAAAAGAAAGAAGAACAGAAGGAAAGGGCACTGACAACCAAGAAAAGATAAATAACATGTGTGTACCTTTATAATCATGTAGACAAAGAGGGGAAAATCCTTATGATTGTATCTGAACAAGATATAGGTCATAACAATAGAATCCAAATTTAAAATTTTGTAAAATTAAAATTTTTGATCTAAACACTTTGTTTTATTATTATAAATTTTCCGAATAATTTTCAATATGAAAATTATCGGCGGCCGATTTTTGTTCGATCAATTTTCGCTTTTCCATTTTTGTGAACATCTATTATTTAAGATTAAACAATGATCGTTAAGTATATATGCTTAGATACTGAACAAAGGCGCTTATTACTTCATTCGATGGAGGATAATAAAATGCAAGATTGATTAATGGTTTTGAATTGTTTCTCAATGTGTAATCAAAGACATGATATGACCAAAAACAACAAGCATTTTATGAAGATACGGCGAGGCGAGATAGGTAACAAAAGATGTTTTCTATTTCACCCTCAAGTAGGTATGAGCATGAAGGTTTGAAAAATACTGTCACATGCTCATGGCTCAATTGAGATACTCTCACGAGACATAGTACTTGTTACGAAGAAATAATGGATGCGAAGCAAACAAAAAGCTGTATGTCTCGACACATGTTAACAAAGACTCGAACTTTTGCCATCATAAAGTGTGACCCAAAGACGTTTTTTTTTTAAACGTCAAAGTTAATTGAGTCGGATAGAGCTTGACAAACAATAGTCAATGACTAGTAGTCATTGATGTGTAAATAAGCTTATAAATTTGAAAGGCAACAAGAAGAAACAAAATACTTTCAGAACGAACCGGTTCTTATAGACATTGACCTATGAAATAATTAGAAATGCCAAATAAGACTGAACAATGGCTATCAATTATTTACCGTTATATGGTAGTTAATAATGAATTTAGGGCATTTTGATAATGTACCGTAAATATAGTATTTAAACGGTGATAAAATGCGATACGTTAACGTTGCGTTGTAAAAGGTCATTGTATGCGACCGTTTAAGCATTGTATTATGCGACCAGAGAACTCAAATACGATTAAGGCAATTTGAATTGAAAAAATCGAAAAGTATTGATGTATCAAAAGATAGGAACAACATGAAGAAATAGTTACAATATTTGTTATTCAATTTCTTAGTATTTTTGAGACTTTTATGTTTTGTAGATACATTTTTTCCTGTTTCAAATGTGCTTGGATAACAATATTACCTTTATTTTTAAAACTTCTTTAGTTACTCATAGATTGAATAATTATAGGCATGTAGATATCACTAATTAATAATCATTAAAAAATGAATCGATAAACCTATAGATGGCTTGAATACATTAAAAGACAAAATTTTGATATATTAGTTTGGGCACAAAAACTAAAATATTTCAATAAAAAAAAGTCACAATGAAAATAATTTGGAAAATAGAACCATTCTATTTCGTTTGCTGAATCTATCAGCCAAACGAAAACAGGAATAAATGTTTGAAATATGGTAAAGTAAGGATTTGCATGTTATTGGTTCTTAACTTCCATATGAAGTCACCAAACCAACATCCCATATAGAATTTGACGTATTCGTCTAACGTTCTTTTATTTATTGATCTCGATCTGATTCTGTACAAGTAGCGCCTGTCTTCTATTGGATGCTTTATAATACTATTTTGAATGGATGTATTGTCGTGTCGTCGTTGGAAGATGGTTTCCTTTTCTTTTCGTTCTGATATACATTTTCTCACATATTTGTTTTTTTTATTGAATAAAATAATGCATTCTTCTTTCTTTGATTATTATTACTACCTGTTTGTTATTTTTTTACAATGAAAATTTTGCTTATAACAAGTGTATCTATTTCGCGAGTGATTGTCGATAAATCGATGTTGTTTTTTTCTTGTTATTATAGATGAGGTTATCTAATGCATTGATTCACTCTTTTTTATCCATTTTTCTCTGTTTATTTATTTCCAATTGTTGCTGTTATGAACCTCAAAATCATATAGATCCTGTGACAACCAAATATTCTCAGTCAACTGTCAATGTTGATCCTCTTAGTCAACACATAGGTTAATATTGCTTCTTGTTCTTTTCGACATACCCAAATCTTATGCATTTTTAGAAACTACGAATATTCAAAAAAATGAATTGCAACAACCTAATGATAATGAACATTTAGATGACACAATTGATGCTCGTCTTCGAGCTAAACATGATCTAAGACAATTAGTTCATGAACAAAGTGATGGTGATAAGCTTGATAATGAACAGGATTGTAAGAATTTTTTCTTTGTATTTTGAGATGAAAAATATTCTTCTTTTTAAAGATATCGATCGGTTAAATTCAGCATTAGAAAATGAATATAAAAAGGAACCTGAATCTCAACATATAGCTCCACCTACAACAAATACAATTCATAATACACCATCACAAAATCAAATAAAAGAAGACATTCAAGTGACATCACGTGTACTAAACGAAACAACATCTATACAAACACCACAGGAACAACGACAGCACACTAACAATGAACCATCATCAGTAATTGATACATTGAAACATGCTCAAATTATAGATGAAAAATTGAATTCAAAACCAATTTCTGATGAAACTATACCTCCACCACAAGCACAAACTAATGAACAGCAACCAACAAATGTAATTCAAGAAAAAGTAGCAAAAGAGGATGTTTCATCTATTCATAAAGAGACTCTATCATCAACACAATCTCATCAACAAAACGAAACACTTAATGTAGTAAAACCTGTAACTAATCACATTCCACCTTCTTCAGATCAACAACAACCGATCATAAATGATACAGTACAAGATAACAGTTCACTCGATGTTAAACCTCCATCTTCAACATCACCACAATTAGATCAATCACAAAAGCTAAAATTTGATACAGTACAAAATGCTAGTTCGATTGATCCTACACTATATCACCAACCACCACCACCAGATGCAATACCAAATGATCATTCATTGGATCTTAATTTGAAAGAACAACAAACATCCGAAACACAACAAAATGCGAGTGCATTAGATCACAATCCATCTTCTCCAACACCCATAAAAGAAGACCAAAAGCAACAAATTTTTGATTCGATACCAAGTGTCATATCATCAGATCAACAACAAGCAAGTCCAGAAACTAAACATGTTAGCTCATTAGATCAAAAACAACAAACTCCAGAAGCAATACAAAATACTAGTTCAACAGATCATAATGCACCTTCAATACAAGTAGATCAACAATCACAAGTTGTCAATACAGCGAAATCAACAGAATCAATGCCAAGTAATGTCAAATCAGATGACATTTCATCCGAAAAAAAAGAAACTCCTACTAATGTCCGAACATCATCACCATCAGCAAGAATTTTACGTTCAGCAACAACAAGAATGACTCGAACTGCTGAAGCACGTCATCACCACATGCATTCAAATGAAGAACGAATGAAAAAACAACAAGAGCCAGAAAAAATCTCCCCAACAGGTAAAATTAATGTATGATCTTTCGATTTATTGATGTTTTTTTTTTCTTTTTCAGAAGATTCAACTATTGAAACAAAATCATCATCGACAATATTGCCTACTGTTGAATCAACAATAGCCTCAACAACGATATCTAACATGGAATCAACAAAGACTGCTGCCGTTGAATCAACATTATCATCAACAATGATGACTACTACCGTCGCATCAACATTATCCTCAACAACAATGTCTACTATGGAATCAACAAAGGCTGCCACTATTGAATCAACATTATCCTCAACAACAATGACTACTATGGAATCAACACTATCCTCAACAACAATGACTACTACGGAATCAACAAAGGCTGCTACTATTGAATCAACATTATCTTCAACAGCAATGACTACTATGGAATCAACATTATCCTCAACAACAATGACTACTATGGAATCAACAAAGGCTGCTACCATTGAATCAACATTATCTTCAATAACGATTTCTACCATAGAATCAACACTACCGTCAACAATAATGTCTGCTACTGAACAATCAATCGAAGAAAATAAGAATTCAGTTGAATCATCATTATTAAAACCAAAAGAACCTTATGTTGAAACTGTTCAACAACCTGCATTAGATGATAATATCTATGATGAAACTAAAATAATAATCAATGAAGAAAATGAAAAATTCATTGATATTACTGATCTCCCACGTCAAGTACATGTACATGATCCAAAAGCAATACTTAATGAACTAGAAGAAGAATCAAATAAAAATGAAAAACAAAATATTGATAAAGAAATTGAAAGTCATACAACTGTTGCTTCATTTCTATCTAATGATCACAGTCCTCATCTACCGCGTGTACTAGAAAATAAAGAAACAATATCAACTATCGATTCTACCATTGAAACAATGATAAATACAGTTCAAACAATTGATAATAAGAATGAAATAAATCAATCTTTGACACACAGTGAATCGAAAGTAAGTTATTTTAAAATAGATCATATTTCAGTACTACTGCAGAAAAGAAACATCCTCATTGTTAACGCTTATAGAACGAGAAAAAAATCTACCCGGTGAGCCAACAATAACAGGACAAATCAGTTTTTCGATTTTTATTTGTACATCTTCAGTTAGATCTCATATTTTTACCATATGTACCACGTGATATAATCCAAAGATAGAGAATATGATCAGTATCTAGATGTTGTAATTTGTTCAAAAGCCTATAAATACAGGATGGCAAAAGTAAGAAAACAAATCTGACTATTATCAAAACGTTTATTAAAGCGATTGACCTAGAAAATGACTCACAGAATAATACCTATTTGTGAAGTATTATTAGCAGCAAGTTTTTCACAAAACTTGCTCAATTTGTTCACTTGTTAAGTCTTTGCAAAGTTGCAATTGCCTACGTACTGACTCAAACGCTCGTCGACATAATTCCACTGGCAAGCTTCGTCTTATTTATACGCTTTTGAATAAGTTCCTGCATCTATATGCTGATCATATGCTGCATGTTTGAATAATATGATGTAGTATATGCGGTAAAGCAATGAGATCTAACTGAATATTTATAAAGAAAAAATTGAAAAACTTATTTGTCCTGTTACTTTTAGCCGACCTTGTATTGATGCAACACGTAAACCAATATTTTTCGACAAAAATAATATTAAATATAGACGTCATATAAAAGCAATTGACTTCATTTTTGACAACAGAGTATAGTAATAGTGTGTGTTAATTAAAATTATAAGCGATTATTAATTAAGCAAATATCTGATGAACCAGAGAAGTTTATGTTTATATAATGAATGTCCCCTCTCCTGTATTGTCATAACAAAAAAATCTCGATATTTACTACTGCGATATAATATTAAAATATAAAATTAAAATTAAATGTATAATCTTACAAACGTCGCTAATTTGGATACTATCAACACCAAAAAATACATCAGCTAACCGCCACACAGGAGATTTTCTAGGCTCAATAATGCATTCCGATGAATGGAGGGCTTATTTCCAATTAGCTAATAATACCAATTATACCCATGTAACAGTTAATCATTCTGTACGTTTTGTTGATCCTACAACCGACGTACATACCCAGAATGTTGAAAATACATGGATGCGAGTGAAAGGAAAATAAAAACAATAAGGCAAATTTTTCCGAAATTCATTACCTACTTATTTAGAGGAATTTATGTGACGTCAAGAATTTGGTGATAAACCATATAAAAATTTAGTTTTGCAAATTTATTCTCTTCATCCTGTAGTATAATTTATTTGTTGAGTCCTTTTCTGTAATGAAATTCTCTCTTTCTTAGATGACATCTAGTTCTATTATCATTTTTGTCGAGAGACATTGGTTTACATGTTACGCCAATAGGTTTTTCCTTTCTGTACACATTAACACTGGGCATATTCCTCTTCTGCAGTGGTACCCATTGTTCAAAATTACCTTTATTTTCTCTTAGGTTGAAGAAACAAATAATACACTACCGTCAAAATCAAATACAATGTCAACACCTTCAATATCAAATAATAGTGGAAAAACATTACCAACTCGTCAAATCTGTTGGAATTTACCAAAATCATTTGAACCAACTTTTGAATTAGTAGAAAATCAAGTATTACGTCTTATTTATCTCGTAAGTCTGTTTTTTTCGTATCGACTCATCATTAATCTTAGTTTTTTCTTGTAGTTACCTGAATTTATTCAAGTACCTGTATATGAATCCATGGATGATCGTGAAACAATAATAAATACAGTATGGCTTGGTTCAATATTTAGTATGTGCTTTGCGTTTAGTTTCATATTTCTTTCACTGGGTACTAAACGTTTAAAACAAAGTAAACAAGAAAAAAAAATTCGTGCTCATTGTCAACAACTTCAACAATATAATAATCAAATTGAACTTGAACGTGCAACATTTGAAAAACAAAATCAAGAGTAAAATTAATAAAACAAAAACAGCATCATTTTTATTGTAATTTTGTTTTTCGAATTGTTTTTTAGATTATCCGATCAAATTGATCAATTAAAAAAATCACCAGTATGTGATGCAGATGAAGAACTTTTTGAATTACGTGAAAAATATGAACGTCTTCATGCTGATTGGAAAATTGCACGAAATGAACATGATATTTTACAAAATGGTATTGATTATAAAGACAGTGTAATACAAAAATATGAATTTGATATGCAAAAACAACTTGAAACTATCACATTTTTGAATGATGAAGTAAGAGTCATTTGTTTTAGTTATTTGTGTATGTCTGAATAATATTTCTAAAACATAAAGTAAAAGAAATACTTCCCGTATGTTAAATAGACAGAGTATAGTCGTAATCAGAAACAACAGAATAAAACAAGCTGGAGGCCAGCTGTTTCCACTTGACTTAGTCAGATTCTTTACCTTTTATGGCATACATTCATTTATTCTAATCGATTCATTTAGCATTGAGATTCAAGGCTAAAGAATAATATTCAAACTATTCTCTAATATCTTTCAATCTATAATTTAAAAAAATTAATGTTCCAGAAGAGGTCGTCCATAAAGAACATTCAGATACGTACTTTGAATATTTTTCTTTTTGCTCGCACAACTTTCTGTAACATTTTCAAAGTTAGTTTGTTTTAAAAGAGCATTGTTAAATGGAAACTAAAATGAATGAAACAATTGAATATGAATATGATGTTGAAATAATTGAAGATTATGCTATATGAGTAGATACTTATTTTCTTGATCAATTATATGAGATTTTCGAATGCCATTAGTATTGAACTTTATGTTTTGTTTTTACTACTTTCTGCTGATTAAAATTGAATTATTTAAGAAAACAAAAACTTTGCCATAGGTTAAATTTTTGTCTGTTGTTTATAAAATTTGTGTTTATTCATTTCTATTTTTGAAATATTTATTTAATGAACTGTCATTTAATAAAAAAGAAATTGTATATTTGAACAAGCAGACTTTTTCAGAAAGTTTCTTTTTTTTTTGTACTGGATCTTAGAGCCCGAGGGACGCGTTTCATACACGGATTAGGTCGAATGAGGGGTCTGAAATTTTTCTGTTAACCGGTTTCGAAAATGGTGGACCTGACAGGCTACACTGGATGACCAGGAAAGAAGCAGAGTGTCGATAAAATTGGATAACTATCTGGATGGCAGGATGAGGAGAAGTCATAAAATGTGATTTTTACCTAAACGTTCTTTATGGATGACTCCAGCGTATTTTCGTATGATCAGTTGCCTTATTGTAACGGTTTATTTTGACTTATTTACCCTACATAAATTGTTGTCACGGTAAATTTATTTTCATCACACTTCACTGATTTCTATTTGTAAAAGAGACTCGTCCAGGTTTTTAGTTATATTAATTATGGGCACTATCCTATATACTGTGAAATATGTCAATGATATTTGTTTTGATTTTTATATAAATTAATTTATATGTTAATTGACTTTTATTTACTTTTTCGTTTTGCATTACATACAGTTAGCAAGAAAAAATTTATCTGAGCTAAAAATTGAATTATTGAACAACAATAATATCTCTCTGATGGTTAACTATTGAATAATTTAGATTCTTCGTCAAAAACAAGAACTAGAAAAAGAACGAGAAGCTATAGTTCGTTTACAATCTGCTGATTTGTCATTAGAACGTTCGGAAAAATTAGAAGAAATAATTCATCAATTAAAATCTGAAATAACACAATTAAAACAAGAGAAATTTGCACAATTAGATCAATTAGAACAAGTACAAGAACGTGCTAATCAATTAGATATTGATAATAATCAATTAACTATTAAAATGAAACAACTCAAAGATTTACTTGAACAAAAAGATGAAACTATAGCTCAAATTAGAGAAAAAATTCTTAATAATGATAATGATAATGATGATGATGATGATGAAGAAAAAGCAGCAGGTTACATCTTAATGAATTTTTTTGTTTTTTAACTGAATAAAATATTAACTCTTTTCTATTTCTTTTTAGAAATAGATAATTTACTTTCAGCAGTAAAAGAAAATACAAATGATAATGATCAACAAGAACTTTTATCAAATATTAATAATGATATTGAAAAAGCTAATCAACATATGCGTAATTTACATGCTGAAATAGATGAAAAAACTCGTCGTATTAAAGAACTTGATTCATTACTTAATCAAGAAAAAGATCATTGTAAAGAACTTGAAACAAAATTAAAAGTTGTTTTAGAATTACGAGAACGTGATGCTCATTTACATATTCGTCAATTAGGACAAACTGATGCTGAATTACGTAAAGCAAGAACAGATACTGAACGTGTTCGAATTTTACAACAACAATTAGAATTTAAACAGTTAGAATAATTATATTATTTAAGAAAACTTTAAAAAAAAAAATGAATATTTATCTTTTAATTTTAGAAAACAATTAGATGATGTACAAAAAGTTCTTTCAAGTGAACAAACAAAATTTAGTGAAGAATCTGGTAAATTACAACATGAAATACATGAAAAATGGATGGAAGTTAAACGATTAACACGAGAACTTGATGCAGCAAGAAAAGAATGTGAAGGTTTACGAAGACAGTATGCTTTATTTTATTTTATATTATTTTATTATTATTCATTTATTGTTTGTTTTCTTTTCTTTTCTTTTCTTCTCTTTTTATATAGAATTACTAAATATGCTAACAATGAACGTTTATCTCAAGAGAAAACAATGCATAAACCAATACCACAACATATTAATAACAGTAGTAAGTTTTAAAAAATATAAAATTGTTGAAAAGAAAACATTTTTCTCTTTCTAGGTCGAATGTCGAGTGAACCGGAAACAAATAATAGTTCTTCACCACCACCACCACTTCCATATCAACAAGGGGAAAAGTATGGCAATTACTTTTGAATAGAAAAAAAATCCCGTCTTATTAATGTACAGTTTTAGACCAATTGATCATGAACGTAATGATTCGGGTGCTGCTAGCCCAGCTGAAATGCTTAGAATGCGTGAGAATTATTTTTGAATTTATCATTCACATATACAATCATTTTTATTTAGGACCGCCTCTATTTGGTTTACCTCGACCTCCATTCTTTCCACCACCATTCATGCCTCCTCCACCTAATCCATTCATGATGGGCCCACGATTTCCAATGTCAGTTGGAGGCCCACATGGAATGATATCCCCTATTCCGCATCTAATAACCAATGGTAGTGGTGGTGGTAGTGATGCAAATAGTTTTGAAATTGTTGATTCTATTAATGTAACACCAAATTCGACTAGTTATGATGCACAACTGAACGGATCTGCTGTATCACCTATACCTAATGGTAAAAATTTCGAAGAGAATATATAATTAAATGTTATTTGAATTGTTTCTAATTTAATAGACGAACAGCAAGCAACAGCAAAAGTTAAAAAACCAAAAAAATCTTCGAAAAAAAAGACGAAAACTTCCACCACAACGACAGCGCCGACATCGATAGAGGACGTATGACGCTGTAACTAGAAGTGTTATTTTTTCTTTTTAAAGACTATTTTATGATACTCGTTGGTTTGTCTTCTTCTCTCTTTATTTAATTTTTTTTTGTTGAATATAACTGTTATTTATATTTGTCGTATTTCTTTTTTTCCACGGGGTTTTTACGTATATTCGAATGATAATTAATCATTCTTTTTATTACGTGTGCGTTTTAATCTAAGAAGAAAAAAAAACGAAACGAGACACTATTCTTTTTCATATGTGTGTATTTATTCTATTCTTTCAAATATGAATGTTTCTCCACATTTTTTAGTTATTGCTATAGTGAAAAATGAAAGTTGTTAATCGTTTGTTGATGCTACTCGCTCATTGCTGATGTCCTCTTGTCTTGACAGTCAATATTATTCTTTCTCGCTCACACGGACACTTCTAGTATAATAATATACTGACGAAGAATTATTGAAATAATTTTTATGAGAAACCTACGGTATTGATGAGCAACGTTTCAATTTTCACAATTGGACGGAATTGCATTAAAGTTTACATCAATAGGCGAAAGCAATAATGTTTTGATAATTAGTGAAAGACTCTCCGATTGTGTACTTAAGATTTACTCATACTATAAACGATATGTTTTCTTACGTCAGATTGGAGGAATGAGGCATGCATCGAAAGCGAATATTCGGACTCACCTTTTGCTGGAGTTATTTCTAGTGAATTAATAAAACGAAGTAGAAGGAAAGTATTTCACAGTTGGCTGTAGTAAATCTACATACAGTACAATAAATGATATAAAAACTAGCAGATTACACGAATCCTAAAACGAAGTCAACGATATTGAAAAATTCTTGAACCCGAATCTGAACTTGGTCAAACATTAGCTGTCCATAATCGTTCATATACCTTAAGATATACTTAGGCAATTACCTAAGTACTCGACATTGTCTAATTTGGTTAGATAGTTCTGGAATCCGAACATGAACTACAGTTCTGATTCAATGCATACTTACGATAAAACATGTAGAGTAAACATGAATCTGTTCCCTCTCGAAACATTCATTTTGAGGTAGCATGTTAATTGAAGTTCTTAGGTGTTGTAAATGTATATGCAGTAAATCAATATAATCTCCATATAGTGAATTTAAGCAATCGTTTGATTATTATCGTATTGAACGAATGAAAAGAATGACTACTTTAGCAAAACAAAATAATGTACTATGTTAGTGGTGTGAGCAAAAAATATAGAAGAAGAACTTTAAAACTTTTCGATACAATAACCGAATGATCGGTTCTATTGTCTTGCAATAAAGTATAAGCATTTGTTTATTGAAACTATTTTTATTTAAGAACTTGCATCATATGGATATATTTAAAGTTAGTATATACTATAAACTGTTCGAGCTTAATTAAGTTTTCGAGCAGCTAAATTACGTGTGGCAATTTTAAATAGATCCGTTGATTTTGAGCTGATATCGGTAGCACTAGAAGAACGAGTACGATTAACCGAAGGAAGAATAGGTACATAATCAAAAAAATTCTTTAGATTTGGATTGGAACGTCGAAAAAATGAATCTAGTGGCATAGCTTCATTTTTCGATGTAACTTTTTTTTGAATTGGTTTACGAATAGATGCAGCTTCTGCATCCGTCATAAATGTATTTAACGTTGGTGGTAAGACGTCAATTGTTTTTCCTCGAAAACGAACTGTTGTCGAAGTTAAATCTAGATTTCTTGCATGATCTCTTTTATAAACAGCTTTGACTTGTGTTTTAATCTCTTCAATACCACCTGATATAGAACAATCAGCTTCTCTATCACTTAACCAAGCTGCTACAGAAAGTCCATCAGATGCTGAACCACAATTTATAAAATGACATTTTGCACCAATTTTTTCATTTAAACCACGAATAATTGCTTGATATGCTTTATCATTTTTTTTCGGGCTTGTATCAATTCCATCAGAAAATACATAAAGATCAATATATAAAAATGGTTGTCGTTCGAACATTTCATAGACTTCTTTTAAAACTGAATAAAAATATGTTTGTATGGATCGAGAACTTAATTGAATTTCATCAATAGTAATTAAATTTGATTCATTAGCAATATCTGAAGCGTTACATAGAGGAATCAATGCTGGATTTTTAAGTTTATCATCAAATGTTGTTAAAATAGCTTGATCTAAAGGACTTGCAGCTGCAGCAATTTCTTTTAATAATTGTTTTATTGCTTCTTTTGTTTGAGTAATTCGTGATAAAGAAGATTTTTTTTCTATTGTTAGATTATACAAAAGATTTAATGCCATTGATGACGTTACATCAACGAGAATATAAGTTAAACGTGCACCAGTAAAATTTTGACGAAATAAAGTAACTGCTCCCCAATCAAAATGATAATTATAACATATTTTTGAACATTTTGGACAACGAAACTCAGATACTTTTGTATCTTCTTTTTTCATTTCAGCTTCTGAATGTTTCAATTGATCGGAATAAATTACAATTTCATTCAAAGCACTTTGAGTTATACGACAGAAACAAGAAAGAATATAGAAACTTCGTTCTAAAATAAGAAATATGAATAGCAAAAAACAAATATACATTTGTTATAATCAAAACTAATCATACCCGCAGGGTTTTGTAAAGCAGCTGAATTCGCTTTTGGTGGAATCGCTGTATTAGTTATGTAACACTACATTAAAACTATGAATATAATTTCATTAAAAAAATTCAATTGTTTACATACGTCTGGTTTCAGTAAAAGTGGTACTACACAATCTGGCATCCACATTGAACTCGTTGAATGTGATGATATATGTTTCGTATCTGACCATAATATAGTTATTGTTGATACTGTCGTCTCATTTGATTCAACGTCTAATGGAGAAAATATTCGATCAAGTCGTTTTCGAAGATCATCATTGCCGCCAGATATTTTTGGATAGACCGATCGAATTTTCATATTAATTATATTAGATAGACTCTGTAAACAAACTGTTAAAACAGCATTTGGTCCATTCATCTAAGAAAACATGAGAGATAGTAACTACACAATTGAAAAAAAATACTAACCCATGGCTTTTCATGAAGTTGTTCTAATACGAAATATTTCCATGTTTCACCCCATTGCAAACAAGAATGTAAGTCAGGATCAGCTGAATGATACACGTCTGCATTGAGCACCATATCAATTACATTTCTTATTCTTAATTCTTTCGCACCCTCTTCGACATCCAATCGACAGAGAATAGCAATAGTTTTGTATAAACAACTACTATTTGATGTATCAATCTTAACAGGATGATGCTTTTGAAGAATATTATTGTCTTCAGATATAACATAGTTTCGAAGATAATGAAGAGCAACACGATCTGTATCATGTTCATCAAGATCAAACATACAAACAGGGGTGATGAATAAAGGGTGATTTTTAATGAGTGTATTAAATTGTGTGCATTTGTCTTTTACAGCATCGAATCCTTTGTTAGCAGAATAGATATCTAGTAAAGTAGTCAGTATTTTAGAAAATAAATCGGAACGATTGAGTTGTTTACAAGTATTGCATAGTGTGACAGTGGAATCTATTGACCAAGTATCATTATTGCATATTTGACACTTCATTGTTATTTACTGATTCTCGAAATATCTATTTGTTTTTTATAGTATAAAAATTACCAAAATGACGAATCATCATACGTTAAATAAATATATGAGTCAAGAGATATCGCAACATGATAAATTTTTTTAACGTGGTCATTACACAAAAGAAATGTAATCGAGCTTGTTATGTATATGCTATCTCTTTTTTGTGACACCCAATATTTACTCACTTTATCGAAGAATTGAAAAGGAGCAACACAATAAGCATCTAGCTTTGAAACACTCATGTCATGTAAACAGAAAGACAAAGGTGCAGTTTGCAAGATAAGATCAATAACCTTTGCATCTTATATTAGAAGATTCTAGGTGGAATATAATATGAAATTCATAATAGAAGATCTAGGCCTTATAATGAGTTGTGCAGTCAAATATTTTTAAATTTATTTCTAGAAGGAATTATCAAAGAAAACGTCTAAGTAAAAGACAAGACAGAAGATCGAGCATTACTCAACATCTAAATCTTTACTATGAATATTTCGATTTTATTCATACAAGTAGTGTCTATATAATGATAGACCGAGTCCCTTTTATGAACCTATCTAAGGTTTTGATATCTTTGTCAGATATTGTACATTTGATAGACACATATCGATATGTTTTTCCTATTTTTATGGAAAATTATCTGTATATGTGTTCGAAGCAGAGATAAGAACGGCTTGGGTTTTTAAATTTTAAACTGAACTGAAATCGAGAGAAATTCGACTAGAGTCGAACCCAACTGAACTGAACTAAAAAATCCTTTTGGTCCACCATATAACGGGTGTCCCAGAATAAATTATACCATTCGTATTTTGAGTATAACTCTTCTATTATCCATTAGATCGGGACATCTTTTTATACTAAAAGATAGCGCTTTGCATCTCATTTTTCTATCACTTACTTCGTCCTATTAGAAAAGCAAAATATACCAATAGATGCAGCGTGAAAAGCTCTACAATCTATATAAGACCGCTTATTTTATAGTCGCACTTTTTGTTTTGAAAATGGACAAAATTTTGAGCGGTCAAATTTCGATCCTGCGAAAATAATGTAATTTTTGGTAGAAGATGAATTCGTTTTTTATCTTATTTCCTCTTTTTATAATTTTTCTTGGTAAATTGTAGAGCTTTTCACGCTGCATCTTTTGGTATATTTTGTTTTTCCAATAGGACGAAGTAAGTGATAGAAAAATGAGATGCAAAGCGCGGTCATTCATTATGTCCAACCCATTACTTTTTACAGCTTTTTGTATGTCGTTACTTTTCATCTTTTTTCAAATATATCTAAAACAATTTTTTTGGGCCTAGTTATACAGTTTTGTAGAGAATTTCAAGCGCTATCTTTTGATAAAAAAAAGTGGCTCCCTCATGGGGATAATAGAGGAGAAATTATAAAAATACCAACAGTCTAATTTATTTTTTACAGCTTTTTATATGTCGTTACTTTTCATCTTTTTTCAAATATATCTAAGACAGTTTTTGGGACTAGTCATATATAATTTTGTAGAGAATTTCAAGCGCTATCTTTTAGTATAAAAAGATGTCCCGATCTAATGGATAATAGAAGAGTTATACTCAAAATACGAATGGTATAATTTATTCTGGGACACCCGTTATAATTAAAGTTACGTGACCTGTAATTTTATTTCTTCGTTTTTTCTGAGCGATTGTCATCAAGAAGCGAAGTGAATAGCATCGTGTGTATTTGATAAGAAAGAAATATTTACTTTCTATTGAATCCGATGATCAACGATCTAATTTGAGTTGAAAAAATAAGTCGAAATTTCAAAAAATTTCTAAGCATGATGATACACCAAATCTAAGATAAATCTTCTCTGAATTATAAAATATAAATCAGGCTAGCCTACTTTTTGCACAACCAGTAGATTCTTGATCGAAACCAGAAAACAAAAGAAATTTTCATTGTTTCAGAATGAACCAAACAAACAAGGAAATGATAAAATTTGCATGAAATATTTTAGAATATGATTTATGCAATTTGATACCTTGTATGTATTAGTGTTCAGAAATTTGTTTTTTCAGTTGATTTTGAAGAAACTATGTTTTATAGATGAAAAATGTATTGATTAATGAGAAACATGTTTTTATTGCTGGATTTCATGTGGGGAAAGTCGTGTAGTTTTCTGGAAACTGATGTGAGGCATCATATATTTTCATATGAAAGTTCTGCTTATACAAAGACGCACATGTGTCCCGGCTCTTTCAGGGGCTACTTCGTATTCCACATTGACGCAGAACTAAACAGTCAATTATACGACTGAAGGTTTTGTCCTAGTTTAATGCTCGATTTCCACGCATGAATCCATTGAAGAGAAGGGCACCAATAGAGTTGTAGCTTGAACACAAGGCACTCATGGGTTTTCTTTATCGTAATTGAAATTCAAATCAAATTTATCTCTGACTTTTGGGCGATCTTAACAGGATGGCCATATGGGAATTATAAAATATAATTCAAATTACTTAGTTTTATCTTTGGCTTTGAACGCACTTCTCTATTGGTTCGAGGGTTTTTAAATTTATTTTCAAAGTGACTGTTTCAACTAGTGATTCGTTTATATTCGAACTCGAATTAGACAACTGATGAGTTTGGTGTATTTAATAGTGTATTCAGAAGGGCGTTTGTACCAATCTCTGAATATCGAGAAACAACATCACTGTTTTCTAGTAGAAAAAACTAAAAAAATCAGCTCTTACTATCTCCAAAGAACTTCGAGTCACTTCATGATGATGATGATCCTCATCTCAATCGAATCGTCTCATAAAAATAAAAACCTTAAGTCTTTCACTGGATATACAGTATGATTACGTTATTTTTGATAGTTTTGTTCAGTTTGTTGTATTTCTGCAAAACGTAGCAAGTTCCTTATTTTGATACGATTGGATAGAGCATTGGTTAATCTGTCGAACCATATAGTTTGCATTTTGTTTATCTTTCGCTCTAACCAAAAATTTGATATATTTTGAGAATCGGTGAAATTAAACTTTTCAAGATCATATTTTGCTGATGCAAAATTCTTTAACTGTGAAGATCCTTCTAGATGGAAGAGAACCATATAACTTAAACGTATACAAAATATCAAACAATTCGGATTTGTATTTAGGGGGATAATTGAAATTTACTGGTGAAATTAGCTCGTTTTTAGCGTTTATGAAAAACCAAGTTTCTCGTGCTTTTTCCAAAAACTATCCTGTAAGACTTCATATAAATTAGAACATTATTATATGAATTGATACAAAAATCAATGGTCTATCCAGCCTTATATGAATGAAAAAGAAATTCGATGCTGGGACAACCAAAATACTCTCACGAAAAAAAAAGAAAACAAGTGTTTGGAAAAAGGTTACGTGCAAATGTGTCAAGAAATCACCGGATTTGTGATACAGCTGAGCAATGGATCTAATGAAAAATATATGGTTCGATAGAGAAACCAATGTTCTATTTAACTGTATAAACATAGGAACGTTTCAGTACTTGGGTATGTAATAGTTATCAAGGAAATTAACACAGCAATGATGTCAAAACTGCTGAGAAAAAAAATTCAAAATAGGTTGCTTTTCGAAATTTAACAAATTTTTGGACAAGATGGAAGCTAAATAAACTGAAAGCTATATAGTTTCATAGAGTAATTAATGCTCTATCTAACCATCTCAAAATAAGAAACTTCCTAGGTTTAGCAGAAATACAGCAAACTAAACAAAACTATCGAAAATAACGTAATCAAGCTGTACTAGATTATTATTGAAATACGTTAATGTCTTTGCTGAAATATAATTATTACTAGCTTATTTTCGATTTTGCTTTCTTATAATAAATCAGGATGCAGAAACAGAATTGTGTAAATACATTCATTGTTATTTTGGCATTTTCTTCCTTGTTCTTACTCTAAATGTCTTTACAGCGATCTTAACTGCCTAAATTTTACTAAGAAGCGAAGCGAATAGAAGCTCATACCGATCTGAATAGTTGCGAACTCAATTGGTCGGCTCGATTCGTGAACCAAACAGAACTGTGGCCATCTCTGGTTTGAACTTTGTCCGAACATGCATTTATTTTATTATCCATCGATGTGGTTGATTTTTTTTCTGTTTCAATTTTTATACGCTTGATCTGTATTTGATCATTATTAGATAAACAATCATCGATGTTAGAATGCCATTTGTCTAAGCAAGAAATTCTCTGAAATGTATTTTCAATTTCAAACCTTTTTTAATCTGAGATCAGCCTTCCTGAAAAGTGACTATCCTTCTATTCGATTTTCTTATGCTTCACTATTTATTATCCATTTATTGTTATAACTCTTGGAACGACTATTGGCATTACATTCACGATTTCATCGAAGTCAAATGTTGTATTCGTCATTAGTTTCGTAGGCAAGTCTTTTGACCATGCACATCTACGATTAGTTCTCGGACGACATTCCTCTTTGCTCAATCGTTTCATATTTTCTTTGTTTTCTTTTCCTTTCTTGATCTCAAGACGCAATCTTTTTTGCTTTTATTTCATCGCTTCATTTCGTCCTGATCGTCTAGAAGATCTTGCTTGTTTATTCTGAATATTTGATTTTGATTCATCAAGCTTCTCTTCAGTATTCATCATAGAATTGTCATAATTCTCAAGAACAAGAAATCTATATCAATATATTTTGTATATTTTTCACTATTTTTTGGTATTCTCATTTTCCCACCTGACAGACACATACACAAATTTTAAAAATTTCAAACTAATTTCCTTTGTAAGAT